GCATGCATGTCTATTCTGAGGCTAAGGGTGCTGCAGTTGCTGGAGAATGAAACCTGTTCCGCTGAATGAACAAATGCATCACAAAGCATCGGCTTGCTGTGGGAGAAAGCACGATAAAACATGGCCCCACTCACCTCAAAGGCAATACTCTGCAAGGTTTTTGGCCAACAGCCCCTGGCTGATGAACAAACACTTTTGTCAGCGCAAAACCGGCAAAACCTTTTATAGCGAAATATAGCGAATGATATTGCTGGGAAGATTCCTGAGACATGTCAGAATCCAATAGAATCCATGATGACCATTGCCTGTCGCTCTCACCATCCCTTACAGGTAAGCCTCGTTTCGCTGCACCTCCCCTCGGTTGCTAGTGCTCCGTGCTGCCTAGGAGCAGCATCGGCAAGACAAGCTGGAGATCGAAAGGCCGACAGACCAGTTCTCGGAAGACCGACCGACCGGTGCACCGCTCGCATCCGCCCGCTTCACAGAGACCACCAGCACCTTCAATAGCTTCAAATGGGGTGTAACGGCCACGATGTGGGAGGATCACTCTTGGTGGCAATCTTCGGCAATGTTTGACGTGCATGGGTATGGGAACGACAACCAACGTGTGAAAGGTTCAAAAAAAAAGAGGTAACGGCATGGCGTTGCCATATTTACATCAGGTTGCACCACCTCCTGTGCACAGTCTCGGGCGCCTGGGCGCCCGTGCTGCAGACCACCCTGCGGGTCTGAGTGCGCGGGTCCGCTGTATTCCCGCCCGTCCGAGAGTGGATCCAGACCCCGGGATTTTGGGGGGAAAACACCGTTTTTGGATGCACTTCCTGAAACTAGCATGGTCACGCTGCATGGCATGGCCCCGAATTCCGAAGACCATTTTCCGCTAGCAAACAGGTTTCGATTCTTTAGAAGTATATCTTTTTTTTTGTGAGGGGTCAGGATTCAGAAAGTGAATCCATTAAGTCGCTGTCTTGCGACTTCCTTCACCCCAGCACCTCACCCTGTCCTTGCTTGGACGCCAGCTTACCTGGAGCGACTTCGCTCGCGTCGCTCGGTGTGCGCTTCGGCCTCACCGCTTCGGCGTTGTCACCCGTGACAGGCGTATGGATGAAGTGGCCCAAAGTAGGGAGGCGGAATTCCGAGACAAGGCGAAACCGAGACCTCGGACCTCTCGGGTGGTGACAGACAGGCCCTGTCTGGGCTGTGACTGCTTGATGTCTTGATGTCTTTGCGTTCAAGCTTTGACTTGTACATGATTGATGATGATTGTTGATATTTTACTCATATGCAATTTAATATGCCGTTGTCATCCTCCAAATTATATGAATGGTCCGACAAGCTTTGCACCGTATCTTGTGGACCACCTGCACTTGGAGTGTGGCCAACACGCTCTGAATAGGGGGTCGTGCAATGACCGCTAGTATGACCGCTGTGGACAGTTTCAACCAAGTGTTGAGGTCAGGTGAGCAGCATAGTTCTAAGTTCTAGACTACTACAAGACGTGGGAATTAAGAAACTCTCTCCAGACATACGCACATTGAGATTCGCAGATCATGCTGTTTCGTGTTTTTGTGTATGACTGGGTCGTTGCTTTTGCGTCAAGTTACTGCATATCACTCCTCCCCTGGTTCAAGCCAGCAGCAGGTTTGCGTGTTTGTGTTAATGTTCATGCGGTATTTTTTCATGCACTCTCACGCGTCTTATCCCGCTACACAGATGTCTAAAGTCTAGATGAAGTCCAGGGGCCACTTGAACTAACTTTTGCTTCCTCTCTTGTCTAGCCATATACGCTTGGTTGTACAGTACAGTAACTTGCTATTTCAGTCATCCCCTTTTGACTTGGACATTCTCTGCTTCGGGACGTGTTTTCTCGGCCACTTCCGACCGCTGCTTCGGCCTTCTGGCGCCAATGACTTGGTCACTGGGCCAGCGGGGACCGGGCCAAGAAGCCGAGAACACCGGGCCATCCGACTGGTGGTCTTCCAAAGCCATTGGTTTGACCAATTTCCAGAAACAGCGGAGAGTGGAGAGGGGCCCGGGCCCGGCCCTTTTGCACAGACACCTCCGGGTCTAAGCCATCTACATACTCTGAAACAAAGGTATGGAGAAGGGGGGTTGCCCGGCACGAGTGAAAACAGCAGGCTGCTGGCCTGTACATGCCTGAACCAGTTCGCCAGGTATGCGGTATGTTGGAATAAGGTATTGGTGTATATATATATATATGTATTTACTTTTTTTTTTTTTGTATTGGTATAGCTGGCACATCGCCCAGAGATGTTTTGTTTCTTTTAGAAGCCGCGTTTCACGATAACAGGCAGGCTTTTAATCGTGACCCCTCAATTGAGGGGAGGTGAACATCATGGACATCTCAGTGTTCACCTCATTTGTTGAGAGGGTCGATGATCGATGTGCTGGCCTTCCAACTGTAGCTGCCATAGAGAGAAAGCGCCTTTTGACGGGAGACATCCGACAGAGGTAACTGCCGACACCTTGGAAGGTCGCGAACTTCACCTTGGAAGGTCCCAAACACCTCGGAAGGTTGCAAACTTCCATTGGATGTCTATGGATCCTATTGAATCCTTGTTACATCTTTCTCCAGATGATTGTAAGTGGTACTGTAGCAGTCAGTTGTCAGATAGTAACTAATTACTTCTTTTTGTGTGTGATACCTTGTGTGTGCATTTCATTGCATTTCTCCATTTTCATCCTTGACACCCTGAGGTTTCCACGTGCTGCACGTGCCTTGTCTCTTCGTGGGCAGAGACTCTCGGGAGTTGTCTGACCCTGAGGGCCGGCCTGTAGCTGAATATCTGTATAATGAATGCTCCCTCTCTCTATGTGTGCTCTCTCTCTCTCTCTCTCTCTCTGTGTCTCGATATATATGTATGTATATATATATAATACAGATATCAAACTTATCACTGGATTCTGCAGATGTGAAATCGACTGCCGTCGTTAGCAGGGTGTGGCAGATGTTTTTTCACTAAATCGGTGACCGAGAGCCGGAGGCGGCCTGTTTCCGGACCGGTTTGTCGTAGAGAGGAACCGGCCGTGCGATCAGACTCCAACGGTATGCCCGACAGGGAAGTTGGAGCAAGTGCTGCAAAAACCAGAAATCCCAACAAGACCCAGACACTGCATGGGACCTGGGACTGACGTATATGATATTACCGCATATGCTTACATTGACCGGGGGGCCCCTGAAAATCACCCCAACGTAGGCAAATATGTCATATATGGAGTGTCTGGGAGAGTGGCATGTGAACTCATTGTTTAGAAGATCAGGTCACAGGTTCACGGGCTTTCACGCTGGTCAAGAGGATGGTGGAACCCCACGAATCCTGAAGAGGCTTTCACAAGCTCTCACTAGTTGCAGTAGTGTTAGGACTGGTCGCAGTTTCAAGGCGCGAAGAAATCGAGCGTGTTGCCAAATACTCGTAGCACGAACTTGGTACCGAAAAGCAACCAATTAGATTTAATGGATGAACTCTAGACCCATCATAAACCATTTTGTGGGGGAAGTTTGATCCATGAACTTCCACCAGCACTTCAAAAGTCCTCGCCACCGCCATCTGAAGAGAGGTGCCCCCCTTCTGCCTGGGGCGACGCTTCCTTTGGACGCGCCTCGGTGCACCCAGCCTCAGCACTGCACAGCGGCGATGCTTAACAGCTACGGTGCCAACGGCACAGGCCAGGCCACGGAAGGCTCCACAGATTGAACCGGATTCGAGGTCAGAGCCGGAGGTTGCGTTCAGGCTGGACATGAGACTGAGGCCTTATTAGATCTTATTAGTGACAAAGCCTGGTGCCGCATTGATGCTCCCACCCCCACACTTTCATGAGACTCAAGTCTTTTTCATAGGCAGTCTTCGGAATAAATCAGAATAGTGCCAACTGCCAACTCTGGTTCCAATCTGGTAACCCTCTGCAGGTCGAGGGTTATCTCAACCCGATCTGGCAACCCTATCAGGTAAACTCTGTTAACCCAAGTCTCGATCCATCCGACGAGACCTGATCCTGCGCAGGGCCTGGTGGCAGAGGTTGAAGCAAAATCTGCAAGTGGACGGCCCATCCGACAGGATAGCCCCCCTGAGCCTCCCTCCGCAGGGATGGGGCTGATGGAGGGGCTGCTTGCGTATGGATTTTTTTTGTAAGATGGAGAGGCTTTGCTTCATGGAAGTGGAAACGTCCTCAAGTGAGCCAGAAAAAAAATGTGGATTGATGTTAAGTAGTATTGTGGGATCCTTCGTTCAGAATTCCACGCACCGCCGCAGCTGTTTCTGATGTTTTCTGTCTTTGTGGAATGTGTTATTTAGTTGGGGAACGACCCTCCGGACGACATCCAAAACGACATTGGAACGACCTCCTTAACTACGTACATCATGTATTTGCTGCTGCTGCTGCTCTTGCTCCTCTTGCTCCTCCTGCTCGTGCTGTTGCTCCTGCTCCTCCTGCTGCTCCTGCTCCTTCTGCTCCCGCTCCTCCTGCTCCTCCTGCTGCTCCTGCTGCTGCTGCTGCTGCTGGTGCTGCTCCTGCTGCTGCTGCTGCTCCTTCTCCTGCTGCTCCTGCTGCTGCTGCTGCTGCTGCTCACTTTCGATGGACAGTATTTAGCCAGATTTCTCGGCAAAAAAACGACCTCTGAACGACCTCTGAACGACGTCCGCATTTCAGTCAGAATGATCACTACTACTGACTACTACTACTACTACTACTCCTGCTGCTGCTGCTACTACTGCTGCTGCTGCTGCTACAACTAGGAGTACTACTACTACCACTACTACTACTACTACTTCTACTTCTACTTCAACTACCACTACTACTGCTACTGCTGCTGCTGCTGCTGCTGCTACCACTACCACCTACCACCTACCACCTACCACCTACCACCTACTACCTACTACCTACTACTAACTACTACTAACTACTACTACTACTACTGCTACTACTGCTACTACTGCTACTGCTACTGCTCCTCCTCCTACTCCTACTCCTACTCCTACCCCTACTCCTTTGTACCCCTACTCCGACTGCTGCTGCTGCTGCTGCTGCTGCTGTGTTTTTGGTTATTGGTACTACTACTACTGCTACTACCATGGTTGCCGCCATCACCACATATGAAGACCGCCGCTTGTAAATCATACGGTTTGCTGTTGGGATCATGATTTTCGTACCATGTTTTTTCTACCTCAAGTGCGGCCTGCCATGAGAAGTTGGTGTTTTCTTGAAAACCATTCTGAAGTCCTAGACTTCCTGGCGTATATGCAACTGGATGAGCGGTTGATCAGCTGCTTTAGCTGGTTTTGAGAGGCATGCCTTTGCTCATCCATGTTCATCCTGATCAAGCCAACTAGGTGTTTCCAGACTCTCATTGAGCATGCGGACAAGGCTTGAAGCCCACCCCTTGCGCCCTTGCTTCGCCTTGCCTCGCCAGCGTTCCTCAGCTCGCCACGGCGTCGAAGCCTGCGCGCGCGCGTCAGGTATGCGAAGCTGACCGAAGAGGTGGAACGTCTGAGGGCCGAGAATGACCAGATCCTCGCGAAGGCGACTGACTGACCCAGACGCGACCCAGCCCGGGGTTTGGCCCGACTGGGGGGGTTGGAGCCGAATCCTCGGGTCAGGGGTCTGGGGTCTCAAATCTCTATAGGTTTTGAGGGACCTAGGGCTGTTTGGAGGTTTGGGTGGTCGACTCAAGTGAAAGACCAGTGATTTTCCCAGACTGAGTGAACCAGGTGAACCCCCCCCCCCAGGACCGAGCGGCCCGTGACAAGCATTTCTCCCGACCGGGTGAAGATCCCCCAGATGGTGCTAACATGGTGACCGGGGCAAGTTCCTGGCAAGGGGCTCTGGCTGGAATGCGAACTGATAGGGAACGAATCTAGAGTTGGACCAGCACTTGTTCCACGAATCGTCAGTACCTCCGAAAGTTTCGCAGCTGGGCCAGAGAGGGTGGGAAGATAGGCTGTAATACATAGAATATTAAAGAATAATTACAACTCAATAGAAGAAAGGGATGGTAGCTTTAAAAAGGTGTTTAGGGGGTTTTACTTAAATAACAGGTTCCCCCCTTCCCCCTATGCAGTCACTTAGTGCCATCGGCTTCGGCTTCGGGCGGGGGGCTATCCGAGACCCCAGGTGGAGGAGTTGGATGTCTCCCGGAGGCAGCTGGTCTCGGACAGCTCCGGCGTGGTGGCAGCGACCTGGCCCAAAGGTGGCGGGTTCAACGCCTTTTGGTGTGTGGTAGATTCATTATGTAGGATGTATTAGGATGAGCCACACGCCAAATATAGGATGTACTATTAGGATGTATCCTTTGGTGTGAACTCATATAGATGTGGATGATTCTGTACAAGATCTTAAAAGTCTTAGGATGTAGATGGATGTAGGACGTATTAGGTTGGTTCACCCTTCACTCACGGTGTGAACTCTAAACTGATTGGCCCCCCCTTTTGGTCAGGAACAGAAGATCGATCGGTGACACTCTGTTCGCCCAAGCTGGTTCAGACGTGAAGCATTGGCAGATACAAACAATCACCAACAACTTCACCATCTGTTGAATCTGCCATGGTTAATTACTTCTTTACAACTTCTTTAAACACTTATCAACTTATCAACTTCTTTAAAAGCAAGCCAGTTATGGTGAAGTACTGCGCTGGTGATCTAAATATTGCAGCAAGTACCTCTCCCAGCGGGTCAGTCGAGCTGAGCGCCGAGCGGCACGGTTCGTGCGCGGAACGGTTGGCGAAGTGGACGGTGGACATTTTCACGGACCAACATCGTATGTGATGACAAAACTGGACCCCTGCTCAATGCCAACATCATTTTGTGGATGTGATGGAGCGTTTTTGGAGGCCACTTGATCAGCTTTTCTCATTAAAGATCTTTTTTGGACCAGAGTTTCTAGGTCCTTTTCTGTTGGCTCTCCTTCTTTCCATTTTTTTGCACAGCATCCAACTGGTGTGAACTGGTGGGAGCGATGTACGTACCCAGGCGAGCCGTTCGACTGACTTGGAGCGAGCCGTTCGACTAGCTAGCACGGGAGTTCCATAAGCCTGGCATTTAGCCTGTATGGATCAAGCTACGCTCCGACTCACTAACACCGACGTGGAAAACCCCCTGTTTGTAAGGAAAGTAGTCTTCCAAGGGGCCATGTTCCACTTCCATGTTAGTGAGTCAGAGTGTAGAGCAGGCTGCTTGAGCTTGGATTCGCTGCGTTGACCGCTGCGTCCAGCGGACGCGTAAGCGAACTCGCTTTGAGCAGATCACATGGAGCAGATCCCATGCTAGGTGTGATTCTCACCCTCTTTTTGGCATGAACATCTCTCAGAGTGTCCCTATGGGACCGCTAGACTAGAAGACTAGAATACAGTTTCATGATCTTGAGCACTTGATCTTGGTGATTCCTCCGTGTTGCCACGGAACGAGGCCATTGGTGAAGGAGGAGCAGATCCAAGTCGCTTGGACCGAACCAGGTCCGGCCCCTTTCGCGAAACCCACCGGCACGGTGCAACTGACCGATTCGAGGCGCGATGGCAGCGACCTTGGAGAAGATCGAAGAACTGGATCAGCACATGGGGGAATTGAGAAGTGTCCAGATTCAGTACCTTGGTCAGTCGAGGCCTCCGCCCATGTGGACGGGGCGGGGCAGGCATGTCAGGCATGTCTGAGCCATCGTCCACCAGAAGCCAGCCGGGGGTTCCGGTGTCAGGGAAGGACTGAGAACCAGAACCAGAAGTGAAAAGAGGTTTGTTCAACGCTGAGGCTTCCAGAGCTTACAATCTTGTATGATGAGAGGTGTGAGATGAACTGGCAACGATTCCTCTATAGACTCTATATAGCCAGTGAGGAGTATGGCCAGAATCTTTGACGTTGGGCAAGAGGCAGACAAGAATATTCAGAAGGACCAGCAAAGGGGCTGCCGACAGTGGCGTTTGATGTGCTGACAAGGCTGACAAAGACGTGGTAGAGAAGCTGCTAATGTGTATAATGGTCGACTAGTCGACGAATGCAAGTCTTAAGCTGATACCAGCATATAACTCTAGCAGCACTCAGGACTCCCAAACCTTCAGATCTTTGACCTCTTTAGACCCTTTAACAACCCGCCGATCCCTGCGAGATCCACTTCGGACCTCGCCGCCGGAGGGGACGGTTCGAGCCCAGGAACTACTTGAGCATCGGGGCATTGAAGCGGCAAGTGGTCACCGTCCAGAAGAATGAGGAGGTTTTCCCGGCGAGACAACGACGACGGGTGAGTGAGTTATCTTGCCAATCTCTTGGCGTTCTTTTCATGCGTAGAACGGTGACATCTGTACTTAGAAGCACTTAGAGTGATTCTGATCAAGATCTCTTTGGGGTACTTTGGAATGCCTGTGGCCCATTGAAGCAGAACCCAAGAGCAACCTACACAAGGCAGTACACAAGGCAATCGAAAATGGACCCTTGGCAACGTTTGCCAGATCAATCTCCACCTAGGGGTGTCTAATAAATATAACTATAATGGCCCCATAGAGGTCACGGGTGTCCATGAACCACCCTTTCTAGGTCCTGGGAGTCCTGGCTACTACTCATCCTTCAAAACTCCTTGGGACGTCCGAGCAATCCCACCCTGAAAGAACCCCAGTGATGTGCCTCGAGCCCGGGCCTCGAGCCTTGTGTGGCCGGGCCAGGGAAAGGAGTCCCGGGAACGGCAGCCCGGGCCCTGCGGGAGGGTTTTCCATGTTTCGAAGAGACTGGGGGGGATGTCCAGTGATGGGATGAAGACAGGGGAATGCGACTTCTGGAAGGGCATCGCCAGGTCATCCGCCTCTCCACGCAAGTCTATGAAAAGATCGCCCAGGGTGAAGAGGTGCCAGAGGCCGGCGTGTCCTGGGGCAAGCACCAATTCCCAGGCCGTATCGGTGGTGTCGTGGCCAGAGCATCGCATTTGGTTCAACAAGAAGCTACTAGTAACAAAGGGCATCCCCACTAAATAGGAGCAAGGACGCCACTAGTAGCTCCTTGCATTACTTCTAGTAACAAGAAGCTACTAGTAGTAGGTGCATCGCTACTAGTAACAAGGGCATCGCTACTAGGAGCAAAGGGAACCGCTACTAGGAACAAGAAGCTGCTAATTAGAACTAATTAGTATAGCAATACATTATGGAGGGGTATTTATTTTTGGATTTTGTTTGTTTTCATTTTAGAGGCCTTGGAGAATTTGGGTGTGTATGACTCCTCGTCGCACACGTTTCGTTCGTGGCGGTCCGCTGCCAAACTTCTAGACGATTGGCGATGTGTTGTATCGGGGCCTTTCGTAGAGTCACTTTGGCGTTTGCACAACATTGATGTGTCCAGCGCCAGCACCAAACATGGACTTTGGTTGTGCTGGGGCTGCCACATCGCCTCGCTTTGGGGCCCATGCGAGCATGCTTATTGCTGCATGGAACATGAGGGGCAATCCAATTCTTGTGCTTTGCCGAAAGCACGTGCAAAGGGGCGTCCTCGCTCCCAGCCACAGGCTGCAGCATACCCTTCTCAGGTCGTGCCAGGTCTGACTCTTGCCACAGAGCTCTCGGAACCTCCGCCTGCTCCGTCCTCTAAAGCCTCTAGTGCCAGATCCGAGACAAACATGGCTGAAAACAAAGACTTGCGGTCCTTGCTTCGTTCTGTTGGCCTTGGGCACCTGTATCTCCCTATGCACCATCAAGGCGTTACTGTGCCTGCGCTGTCTCACTTTTCGTTCTCTGATTTTTCCCACTTGTTCAAGATGAACGTTGCGGAGTCCCATACTTTGATGGCAGCTCTGCGGAAAGTGGTGACCTTAGCTTCATGTATCAGCATGCCCTGGTTTTGCCGTTGCGCATTGCATTGTCTTAGGAACAGCAGCAACCATCAGAAGTGCAAACCTTAAGCCCTCAACTTGAACATTGGCAGTATTCTTTTCGATCTTGTCGCGTCCCTGTCTACGGCCTGAGGAGTTTTCATTCTTCTTTTGATTCATGTCTACGAGAATGTTTTCGACTTCATGTCAAAAGCACGCCTTGCAGACTTCAGGCAGCGACACCGCGCTCAAGCGTCCCAGCCTTAGATTCAGTACTCTTCCCCGAAAACCAGCAAAACCGGTCTGGTCGCAGAAGCAGCTCTACAGAGTAGCTTTGCAACTCAGGTAGCCGATACTGTCCAGTACCTATTGCGAAGCCTCCTCAACTTCATGCTTCTTTTACACACTTCAATCTTGAGGCCAAAGCAGACACCAGCGCACCAAGTGGCAAGGCCCAGACAGATTTTTCCTTCTTGACGAAGATTCAAATTGGTCTGGTCCAGGCAACTCCCAAAGCGAAAGTGCAAGCCTTAGCTCTTCAGCAGGTTTTTTCCCTTATTGACGAAGATTCAAGATTGGCCTGGTCAAGGCAACTCCCAAGGCAAAAGTGCATGCCCTAGCTCTCCAGCAGTTGAACATGCAAACTCACCTCATCAGCGAATTCGCAACCTTTCTTTCAAGTCAGTCTGTCGTCAGCTAGAATTTCATGCTGAGGCCAAAGATGTGCCAGCAGCCGCCCAAGCCGTGAAACACTCAGCCCTGGGCTGCTTCTCCCTCATACATAGCTTCGTCGTACGCTTCCCACATGCACCTTCAGGCGACCAACGCCAGCTACTACCGCCTTGGAGCTTACGGGCTGCTGCGGTAGCCGACCACCTAGTACAACACTTCCTGCTGCTTGCCTTTCGGACCGACTTGCCGGCCAAGGTTTGCGTCGCAATGACAATTGCGGAAAAAAGGAAATAAGTTAAGAATATTTAAAGATGTTATATATATATATGATGTCTATTGATTCAAAGTTTGGAAACCTTTTGCTATGTACACATTTTTTTGAATATGAGTACACTGGACCTGCAAAACCCTATAACGGTGGATGCTAAGGGCCACCAGGCTTTCGCCATTTCATTTTCCACTTCACCAAGCTTTCAACCTGCCTTCGCTCTGAAACATTCATATGTCCTGCCGAACCCCGCTCCAGTGGAATCCATCTATCTACCTTTGTATACGTGGGCTGGACAGAAAAGAGAGTTCATTCATTCATTCATTCCTTCCTTCATTCCTTCCTTCATTCCTTCCTTCATGCCTTCCTTCCTTCATTCATTCCTTCATTCATTCATTCATTCATTCATTCAGTCATTCATTCATTCATTCATTCATTCCCTCACTATATTTTGTTTTCATGGCGGAGGAGGCGTTGCGCCGTCCCCGTGCCCCTCCCACTTTTTAATTTAGGCGGTTGCTTGCTTCATGTGTCAGCATGCCCTGGATTTGCCGTTAACTAAAACAAAAAAGCGAAAAGGCAAAATGAAAAAGACAAAGGGAAAGGCAAAAGGAATTAAGGAAAAGGAAAACATCAAAACACAAGTAGCTTCTTGTTCCTAGTAGTAAGGCCAGGAGCCCCTAGTAGCCTCCTTGCTCCTAGTAGTGCTGCCAGAAGACCCTAGCAGCTTCTTGTTCCTAGTAAAGAAAAAAGGAAAAAGGCAAACCAAAACAAAAAAAGGGGAAAGAAAAAAGGGAACAGGACAAAAAACAAAAGAGAAAAGGAACACGTAAAAAGGACAAAAGGAAAGGAAAAAGAAAAAGGAAAAGGGAAAGGGAAAAGGAAATGAAAAGAGCAAAAGAAAAAAACAAAAGAGAAAAAAATAAATAAAGTCAAAACAAAAAGGAAAGGGAAAAAGGAAAAGGAAAAGGAAAGGAAAAAAGAAAAGAACACAGGAAAAGGAAAAAGGGAAAAGGCAAAAGGCAAAAGGAACAGGACAAACAAAAAGGAAAAGGAAACAGGCAAAGGACAAGGGAAAAGGAAAAAGGAAAAGGAAGAGGAAACAGGAAAAAGGAAAAGGAAAAGGGAACAGGAAAAGGGAAAAGAAAACGGGAAAAGGAAGAACAAAATAATCAATGGAAAACAACCGAAAAACAAAAACAATTCCAAAAAAAAACGAAAAAATCCAGAAATAAATTCGCAACCATACATTATTTCAAGGAGGCCCCCCAAAACCATGCCAGGAGCTACTAGTAGCGTCCTTGCTCCTAGTAGCGATGTCCTTTGATGCACACCTCGTGTGGACCATGACTCGATAGTCCTGGAGACCGTACGTCTCCACTTCAAGGCTTCGGAACGGATGGACAGATGCACGGATCAAGCAGTATAGTATAGTTAGTTCATGTTAGTTCTTTGTTCCAATGCCCTCACGAGAATTTGAAGGCGCACAAACCTTCACAAGATCACATGAAAAAATCATTCAAGAATAGGACAGGGCCTTTGGGACAGCTTCAGCAGCTTTTAGTTTCTTGTACTATCCTAGTATCCACAAGCAAGGGTGTACGCTGTGTAAGCCAAGCCTTTACCAATGAAAATTTGAGATGCCATCAGGATTTTTAGAAGATGACCGATCTCAAAATATTGTAACATGAGCCTCTTGAGCCTCTCTCACGGTGGAACTATGAGAACTTTCCCTTCATCTCAAGCGCACCATCCATGACATGAACACTCTTTTTGTCTCTTCTTACCTTCTGATCAGGATGGTCCTTTGGCAGCCTCTTGGAGTGTGGAAAGCGTGGGGAGGAGGCAGAGGGCCGAACTGGTGGAACCCGAACGGTGCGCACTTCTTCCTGGTGATTTGTCTTCCAGGAAGCTGCATTCCTTCGTACATGGCCCATTCATATGTGGAATGCTAGATCATCCCCAACAACACCAAGCACGACTGATGCATCCCCTTTTCAAAGCCACAGAACTCTCTGAGCTGCTGATCGAGGTCTCCCTGGAGGAGGCCGTGGGACGCTTGCGCGACGAGTTCGACCAGCTCCTGGGAGACGGTGGGTTTAGGTGGATTTGGGAGGGAGACAGCGCGACAGCTTCACAAGACTTTTCGGTTCCAAAGGCCTTTTCGGTTCCAAAGGCCTTGGTTCATCTTGCGACCACTCATGCGCGGACGGTTTTCAAGACAGCTTCAGACAGCGATCTGGCGAAGCCGGCGGATCGGAGGTTTTTTGACCGGTCGCGCGGTGAGACCTGTCGGTCCAACTCGGACTCGCAGGTCACCATGGGACCCCTTTGGAAGACGGTTTTCCTCTACAAACCCAGTGCCCTAGGTTTCCAACTAACCATTAATAGGCGGGTCATCCCGAATCAACTAAGGATTTTACACTACCAAAACCAGGTCGTTCCCATTTTTTAATTGGTCTTGGAAACCTAGGGAGTGGTTTTCAAGGTTCCATGTGGATTCGACTCCACCGCGTACCGGGCGTCGATGGTGTCGAACCCGTTAGGTTCTCTCAGAGCATTGCTGTCACCAAGAAGGAGCTTGACACCGTGGTGGCTTGGGATGGAGTTGCGGCGTCCGTCTCCCGAGCAAGTGCTGGAAAATGAGACGAAAAGCATCGAAAAGCTGTCATGAACACAACCATCCAAGAGCAAATCCCAGCTATTTTTGATGGCTATTTGTATCTATTTGTGTATACTACTGTTGGTCACTATTTTGGGCTACTAGGTGCCATCCCTCCCATGTCCTCCATCTCTTCCATGTCCTCACTCGATCCCCTCACTCGTCCGTTCGGCGTGAACCGGTCCGCTCGCTCGATCGATCCAGACCGGTCAGACTCAGCATGTGTCCACTCGCTCCTCCACCCTCTTCTCGCCACTTTCCAAACCCTGGAGACTTCTCATTCTTCGAGACCGTCTCAGTGTCGTACAAGTGGAGAACAGGGTGTCTTGAGTCTGAGTCTCTCCTTGGCTTTGAGACCTTACCTCAGCTGCACCCAAAATCACCGTCCAAAAAGAAGTCCAAGAAAGACCACCCCCCCCCACACGTGGAACCGCCCACCGCGCCTCTCCTTCGCGACCTTCGCAGGTGGGCCGGGTCCGATCAATAGAGCTCTCCTTGCGAGCTCGACGGGGCAAGGCCGGGCACGAGGCCGAGACCCTCCGCGCCGACCTGCGCCTGGGACGGGCCAGAACGGTGGGACGGTGGGGAGGGAGGAAGCAGGAAGCAGCCCTATAAGATCTAGAAGGAAAGGTGGGTGCGAAGGGACGTGAAACGAAGGTTCCGGTCCTTCTTTTCTTGAGCTGTCTTCTCCTCTATGGTCCGAGGATGCTTGGTACGTGGAAAGCATGTTACATGATGTAATTCGGAAAAGCCAGAAGAATTGTAGTTGTTGGACTGATTGATCCAACATGTGATATAGAGGCATTTTCTGGGAAATTGGGTACTGGAGCGACTTGACGGGATTTCTTCATGTTCCTCATTCTTTCTCCATTGCATTCTTTAAACGTTGCCTAGCTGGTTGGTCCAAATAGTGGTCCTCCCTGCAAAACATCCTTTTCCTGCATGGCTTCCAAGTTTCTTTGGGCTTTGCGGGTCAATCCAACTGTCCTTTGCTGTTGAGGCTTTGAAGACGTGTGCCACTGAAACATTTTCTTCCAGACTAACCATGGAGGCTTGCAGACGTGGCCTGGAATTTTTCACCATGAACGTCGTTTTGTGCATCAGCCCACAGGTTCACTACTGCGAACACATTTTTTTCACTTTTTGGCGCACGAAAGAAGATATGACATACGATAGTAGATATGGTATATAAGATATGATACATGAAAACATCGCATGACGTGCACTGCTGCACAACAAGAAGAGGCAAGATGTAGCATCCGGGGCCCTTATTTTATACCTCAGTCCACATCGAGCCTCACCCATGCGGGGCCTGCACCAAGGATCTCTGGGCTGTATGAGGCTCGCCGCAAGAATGCCCAACTGACGCGCTACCGGATTCAGCCACCTGGAGGCACCTATGCGCACCGGCGTGGACCGGGTACCCTTGTCGAGCCTGCTGGTCTAAGGCAAGCCTTGAACGTGAAGCTCGAGGCCGTGCCACGATTGCACGAAGACCGAGCCATCCAATGTTGCAAAACTTGTTAAAATAAATGGTTTGGCCACCAGCACAGACCATGGCACTGCAAGAAGTGCTCCCCCAAAAAGTACGGCTTTTGATCCGATTTCTGAACATCTAGAAGGAACAACTCTCAAATGGGTTCCATGGAGTACTTCGCGAAGAAGAGGAAGCCTACATGTATACCAAACAGCCAGGGTTAAAGTACCTGTGGCACTGGGGGGAAGGGGGGGCAGAACTCACGTTTTGGACATTAGTACGGTTATGAATGCTTCATGGAGATGAACTATGAACGGGCCAAAATGATCCAAATAGAAGGAATCCAGAGCTAGTGAGTGAGCTGATATATACATGTCATCCCGCTTTTCCATGAAAGCAGAATGCAAGCGGTATGTTTCCCCCCCAAGGTGCATCCTGCCCGTTCTTTTGTGCAAGCATTTGCAATACGAAGATGCCCCGTTCGTGAAACGAGCCGCACGGCGCACGTGGACGCAGCCTACTCAGATATACTCGACACACATGGACCCATGGACCCACGTCGATGGCTCCCGAAAGGATTACTAAGACGACTTTCCTTGATGTAGCGGGGGGTGCCATCACTCCATGTAAATATATGTCTATTGATGTCTTACAGGTTCTGGTGCAGGGGTGCCATCCACCCATCCACGTGCTTCTTGCGGGTCCAAAAGTGGCGTTCGCGCAATTGATGTTCTTTCCGGAGATGTCCGCGTCCCTGGCGCGCACCTTTCAAACAACGAACAGAAGCAAACCCAACACCATCCAACACCCTGGCGTCTCCAACGAGAAGCCTTCCAACCCGCAGGGGGCGTCCTGAGGTGCTGGAACGAGCCAGGGAAGCCTTCCGATTCCACGCGCGCATCCAGGCGCATTGGATGGGGGGGGGGGGCTGAGGCAGCGGCAGGTGAGGACAGGTGAGTTCCAAGTAGAAAAGCGTGAGGTGTTGGGACTCCAAGGGCTTCTGAAGGTGGAAGGTCCAGGTATGGCTGGACGTGGCCTTCCCTCCCTTTTTGAGAATCCTGAGCTTGCAGAGTCAGAACATGTCAGAATGCCTCCACACCTTCCAAGTTGAAATCTGCCACTGCTTTGGGTCAGTCTTGGCACTTTGCGTCTTCTATTGGGGATGAGCCGAGCATGTGAAGGAACAATCTGATAACGCGGGATTCCTTGAGCAAGAACTACCAGTGTCTCGACAGAGTCAATATAGGAAATTGCCTGATTGCGCCCTGGAAGAGACCCGGAACTTGAAAACCACTGGGCTGTAGAGGACAATCATAATCTTCCTTGCAGCTCCATTGCCGTTCGCCCGGTTCCGTGGAGGTCTCGGCCTTGCCTGAGTGTATCTGTTTTGACACTTGTGGCTGGATGAAAGGCTCGAAACACCGGACCTGATACTAGTAGTAAGGCCAGGAGCTACTAGTAGCGCTCAAAGCCGGCTGCCAGGCTTTGATCACATCGGGAGACAAGCCGCTGATGGAGGTCGAAATTGCCTCCATCCTGCGGGAGATTGATCAAGCTCAGAAACATGTGCCACGGCCTGGCGACACTGCGAGAAATCGCCGTGTAGATGGCACGTTTGGACCCCCCAAGTTCGTGATTTAAGATGGACCCCGTAGAAAGACATCCCAAGGGATTGGTGCTAGCTACTCTGAAACCACTGTAGATGGAGGAGATTATGGCGATGGCAATGAGATGATCACAATGGGGACCATTAAATCGGGGTTGAAGCTGCAGGGAACCTCCGCTAGGACAGGAAACAACAACACGTGCACTCCATTGGAAGACGTGCTATGCTTGGTATTGGTCCATTCGTATCATTATGGGAGAGTGCCCGCTGCTTACGGTTCCACGCCGCACCAAAGATTGTTCCAGTCAAAAATGCGTGGTGGGCCAGGCACACTGTGTGGAGAGACCTGACCAACAGTGGCAGCCCAAAGAGCATTTTGGTCAACACTGTCACCATTTTGTTCCAAGGCAGGACAGTGGGAAACCCCTTCAACTCTTGACAACGTGGGTAAATGGAAATATATATAATATATGAATTGGCTCATGGTATGCCTAAAGCAGAGCATCGTAGAGTCGTAGAGCTGTTTCTTTGGATTCGAGTGGCACGTCCATTGGCTGATCCTTTCCCACAACTGGATTGAACTTACCAACAAACTTGCCACACTGGCATTGAGCTTGTGTTTGTTTTCTCGATTGGGCCTAGTCATCATCGACATGAGACCCCAGCACGATTCAACACCTATTAGTCTTGCATAGTAGTTCTCAGATGCGCTCGAAAGCCCTGCCAAGGCTGATGATTTGGAAGCTATCAAGGCCGCCCACAGCAAGGAGGAGCGCGCCTGCTGAAGTCTTGAGATGACGATCGAAGATGGATCATGCGCTAGAAGGACCCATCACTGCCCTTTGCAGGTGTTTCTATAAAGACAGCCGTTAAGCTACGACACTCTTTTGAGCCGCGAGCTGGCGATGTCAGGTCATGACAACCTATACATGCTAAAGTGTACATACTACCCGGAGTGAAAATACATCCCCCTCAGCTGAGACTGAGACATCTTTGATGCCAAAGCTGACAGCGATGAAGCTGGCTTTGTTTGGCGCTAGCAACCAAAAGGTGCAAACCGTGGCCCCATGGCGCACTTTAATTCGCTCCTCGCCTTCAAAAAGAGGCTTGGCTGGCATAGGAGCAATTCTCCGCCAAAGTGTAATGGTTGTCATGCATCAACAGCAAATGAATTAATGCTCGCATCATAAACGCGATGAGACTTGGCTCACCTATGCCTAGCGCAAGCGCTCCCAGCCCCAAGCTGCCGGAGTTCCAGTCCCAAGCGCGGTGCTATCATTGGCCATGCCACTGCTGCCAATCTTCACCATGCTCTGGGGAGGGCGCCCATCACAAGAGGATGATGATGACTCGATCAACTTGCGATGCACTGGTGGCTTGCTGGTCAGCATATTCCCTCAGGGAATAGACACTGGTCCTGAAGATCACGCACCAGCGGTCGACAATGTAGTCCATGGCCTCAGGAAATGTCGACATAGGCTAGGCGCGCCAAGGAATGGTCCTCATCATAAGCAACTCGCAGAGAAACCTGGGCACTCGACCTCGGTGGGTTGCAAAGTGAACATGTGTGAGAAAGTCTTGCTTCTGGACCTCCTTTAAATCGTATCCCATTTATTTCCAGCATGCGCTCCATGAATGGGAGATCATTGGTGTAGCGGTCCTCCATAGAGTGATAGCCACTCTTCTCGGCCCGACGATACCGATTGCGGCACTCCTGAACCATCGCCGCTTCAGGGCTCGTGTTTCCACGGCCACCCGGGGCTGCAACCCGCATCTCCAATCCCAGCTGCTCGTACTCGCTCACCATCGAGCTTCTGTGTCAAATGCCGACACGTGCCAAAGCCTCCCTCCTCAACTGGATTCTTTGCTTATCACTCAGGGCTGCTTCACAAGGAGTCCTCTTTAAACCAAGATGACCACAGAATGACTCTAGAAATTCCTAGATGTTTCCTTGGGTCTGAGATTGGCTTATTGACAGGTCTAAATATGCCATTGTTTGCTCAAACTTACTTTAGAAGCTGGCAGGAGATGACAGTAACACGAAGAGGAGGTGATACTTGTCAGGCCATGTCACAGGCCATCATTGCCACAGGCCATGCACCACACATTAAAAACAGCCGTTAAGCTACGACGCTCTTTTGAACCGTGAACTATGATGTCGGGTCATGACAACCTATGCTAAAGTGCACATACTACCCGGAGTGGAAATACAGTTTCATGGACCTCTGACATGATCACGCTCCCCAAGCCAAGCGCTTGGCAATCGGGCTCCCAAGATTGCCAAGACCTACTGGTTCCCAAGGTTGCCTAATGTTGCCAGCCCAGTGCCGTTTTGACTATAATTCTATACCGATTGATGGCCTGATTGATAGGCACCAACTTGGCTCCAAAGACAGATGGCTTGATTTGATAGCATAGTTTCCCAACATTTCCCAACCAATCGCCTCATCAAAATGGTGCCCTCCTAGATTTGGGCACCCGGTTCCATTGCCGAGCGTTTTCACCCCTTCCGGAGCCTTGGAAAAGAAGTCTTAGGCACCGTGAAAGAACTTGTGCTGCTTTAAGCAAGGCAAACAGCCAGGCCACCGCAAAAGCAATCCACTCAATGCAGGGTAGGTCCCCTAGGCAACAACATTCAGAGGCAGCCAGAAGGAGCAGTCTCCAGCTGATTTTCTCGCAGCAGTGCAGCATATTATGCCACAGTCATACCGCCAGGTGCAGGATGTCACTGCTCGGCTGCGAGAGTTCGAGGATAAAGTCACGCCCGAGACGGGCGCCTTTGGCGGTCGGCCACTGACAGGGGCAGAGAAGAAAGAGTATCGACAATGACCAAACAGTTGGTTCGGAGGGACCATGAGGGATGCTCAACCTAAAGCCCTTCATGATCCTTGATTGTTTCTTTTCCTTGTGTTGGGGGGGAGGTTGCATCGAAGGGGGTTGGAAGTTTTGGAGGCCCATGGAGGGTAACACCCTTTTGTGTAGTTCTGGAGGAACTCATCCAAGATCATCCACGAAAAAAGATGCCTTTTTTCAGGGTGCTAGATATAGCCAGTTAAAAAGATCAAACACACACACAAACACTCACCCGTTCAGCTCTTGACCCTTCGTACTCAACACAGTCCAAGAAAATGAGCCATGCAAAAAAGGATAAAAAAGGGTCCCGAGCACCCTTCCTTCCCTCCCCCAAAAGAACAAGAAAACGCACCGAGTGACGCGCCCCCAGCTGAGCCGTCCTTAGGAAAGCTGAGGGAAAAACTGATCGCCGCCCTGCGGGAGGAGGAGAAGCCGCGCCGAGCTCCGTGATCGATCGCTCGCCTCCGAGCGGAATGCGCGGACATAGGGAGGGAGGCGAAGAGGACGAGAACCCGTAGGAAGACGTAGGGCGCATCAATGAGCCTTCCCCCACACCGTTTGTCCTTCCACTTCAGTGGGGAGGGGTTAGGGAACTTTCCATCACTTCGGTGAATAGCATGGTCTTGGGGCCACCTGCTGCATGCGAATCAGCAATAACTGATCTGGTCCTGAAAACACCTCCTCATCGTATTGCTTTGGTAAAACCAACTCCAGTAAATCTGATCTTTTAAGCCACCCTGCTAGTTGTGTGTTTGACTGTGCCGCGCACAAAGATCAAATAGAACCAAGTGGCAGCTTCCCATATCTTTGTGGTTCACTGTTTTGAATGTGCAAAACTCACAACATTATCATAGGTGAAGCTCCTCGTTGAGTTAACCTTATGAAGCGGGATCCACTTTCGCTACAAAACGGGTTAACCAGGGTCACGTCATAATAAAGCGTTTATATATCGCAAAATCTGTGAGCATAAGTTGGACCAGTACCGTAGTTGATAAGCCATTTCATTAAAACATGCAGGGTGGAGGTAGATTCAGAATGTAACTACTCGGAATCAGCTGTCATCATTGTTTGCAGGGTGCAGGTCATTTTAGTAAACATGCAAAATGTGGTCAAACGAGCAAGCTCACTTTTGGATATGCTTGGCGGGACAGGTCATTTAGCAAGTCTTCGGAGTTTGGTGAAGCCATTCAAAGAGGTCGGTAAGTCACATCATAAGTACATTTGCTGTCATTGCTGGTATATCCATGTTATACCAACTATATATATATATTCTCTGTATGAAGCGGAAAAATCGCAGTCCAATAGGTAAGGAGGATGCAATAGCCATAAATAGCCCAAATTCTATTTGGGGCATTCTCGAATCCATTTGGATGTTTGTTGCCAAGGCTTTGCCGAAGTCATGCCAGGAGTTCTGCATCGCACGGCTGGCAGTGCTGCGACAGGTGCAGGCCCAGGAGAGGAGCAAGTCCCACACGGAATGGTTTCTTTGCAGCGGTTTCAAGAAGTAGATGGCACAGACCTCAAGATGACTTCAGATGGGGTCCATATAAACAACCTTTTGGGATTGTGCCATCTCTCAATCCACTATATGTTTCTCCTCCCCCAGTTCCAGCGACCCTTTGGGAAGAGGGAGTCTGAATAGGACATGGATGGACATGCGGATGGACATGCGGCATGTGTTGATTGGGGGCTCCAACCCCCAAAAGAAGGATGTATCTGAAGGTCGGTTTTGAAACATGACTACGTGGCCACGTGGCCAGTGGTTGTCAATGGCTTTCAACTGTGGCCATTTATCAGTCCTTAAATTAGTATCCCCAATGCCGTCCACGATGCCAATGTTTCCATTGGCCCCATTGCAAAAAATGCAGCCTTTCAGGGTAGCTATAGACGCGGTTTGTGAGATTTTTTTGAAGCTGTTGGGTTCGTGAGGTACGTTCCCAAGGCGCACTGTCATACTTTTTGCAGAGCCTGCACTGACCACCAATCTGGTCAGACTCGCATCCACTTGCTGAGAACCTCGAGGTGCTGTTTCTTCGGCGCGTCCCTGTCAGGACATCAAGTTCCTGGCCAATCTTCGTGACTTGGGATGATTAAAGTGATGAAAGGACCAGGCACGGAGGTAGTTGATGACAATGTTTGGTCAGATGGGCGGGAGCAAGAGATAGATTCCAGAAGCAGCGGAAGTGGATGGATGGATATGGATGGGTTCCTTGCAGACTGTTTTCCTGGACGAACGGGGGGTTTTCACGGGTCTTCCACTTCCACATGAGTGAGGCGGAGTGTCAGGGTCAGGGTAGATCAGGATAGGGTAATAGGGAGTGTTATAGGGCAGGGCGGAACTCACCATCACAGGTTGCCATAGCTGCTGCAGGTAAAGCTGGAACCCCATTGCTTTTATGTTGCCCCTTCCCCTGGAGAGCTTCCAATCTTTCACTTACTGTAATCCCATAGGTAGCACAGACACAGCCTAGGGTTGGCTGCTGGGCAGCGCACTTTTAGCAGACCTTGTTCTGACATCTATATATATATATATATATTGGTGTGGTGATGATGGGTAAGCCTGCCTAGCTTGACCATGCTTGACCTGACGAGCCACCCCTTCTTGGCCAATCAGCGCCAAGGCCAAGCTCTGAGCTAGCTCAAAGCAGCTCAGCAGCGGCCGTTTGCCACTGGAGTTCTTTTGGCGGACACCAGCGTCTCGGGCGCAAACCGCCTGAGGTTCCCCATTTTTTTTGGGACAGACCGATGGTGCGTGAGTTCACCGCTGCGGCGCGGATCCGCGCGGATTGTATCAAACCGCATCCAGCGTGGTGGTTCCGTGAAGATACGGATTGCAGTTAAGGAAGTCGCTGGAAGTGAGGAGGTGCTCTATGAAGAATGGACTGTAAACCCTGATTGTGAGGACAGCCTCCCATGAGGCATTCATGGAACCAAGCCCTGCAAGTTGATTTTGGCCGAGTCGCAGGTTGCAAGACTGTGCCCATGCAGAATGAAAGACTCGGTATGCCAGCACCCTGCAAAGGGACCGCAACCTTTAACTTGAGCAGTCATCCAAAAGGGAAGGGTGGAGCCTTTTTCATCATGTTTTTCCTGAGACCCAAGGTTGACCTTGGCCAAGACTCTGATCCAAGATGATCCTTTCGCATCCTTTCGCGATGCCGAGGGCTCCCGCCCCGCCCCGCGAAAAACGCACCTCGGAGCTCATGCAAGTATATAACTGCTTGACATGTCATACATGGCCACAGTGGGCAGCTGTGACACTATTTTGGGCCCTGGATCCGTGGGACACTGCGAACCGTGGGACCTGCCACGGCCTCACGGACGCGGCGGCGACGGACCTGGCGCGCGGTAAAGAAGCACCGACAGAAAGGAGACGAGGTGCGGCGCGGTGCGCGATGCCAAGGGATCAGAAAACGATCGTCCTCCTCGCGTCCTCAGCCGAATCAAGGTGACAGGACCGTCATCAAATGACAAGCAGGCAAGTAAAGCAGGCAAGCGAAAACAAGCTCCAAAGGCCAAACAGATAATATAACGAGCTCATATATACTCCGAAGGCTCTGGATGAACATCAACATGTTGGAACACATCGGAATACCGTGTTCTCGTTCGGGCACGCCGTGCCGGACCTGAACGAGTCGGCGCTCCAGGCTGAAGAGCTTGAACTCCAGACTCAGCAGCTGCATCAGGCGCTTTCATGCGTGGGACTCGCGTGGGAGTGGCGCGTGCGGGCGTGGCTCCTCATGGGGAAGGAAGCGCACGGATCTGACTGGACATGGAACTCCTTGCTTATGGTTTTCTACACCACCCTGCCATTGGTGAATGACATGCACAAACATGGCAAGCCGTTGACGCCGTTGACTTGCTTTGTCACTGGGTTTTGCCAACCATCCTCAAGACCTCTTGGATGCAAAAACTGTGGCTGAAATGAGGAGGCGCCCCCGCCCCCCTGAAGCTCTTGGTGCTCCATGTGAGTGTTTGGACCACTGGAGCAAGTCACTTCTGCCGTTCCAAGGAGGTTGTTCTTTCGTTCACTCCCCGATGGCAGCAGGCAGGCCGATCACAGGGACCAAGAGAGGTTTGTTGTGACCTTATTAGTCCCTACCAGCAGTCACAAGACGGGGTGCGATCGAGGTTAGGGGTGCCCAGAACATCCACTCACTTAAGGACTAAACACCATCCCTTTGTGACTCCTGGTGTAGTATTTATTAGTATAGGACCCGTCACCTGGGGTACCTATGGGGCTTCTTCAACCTTCGGAACGAAGAGTCGGGTGCATGCGCCGACGGAGCGGCGACGCAGCTCCCGGGGCCTGGAAGGCATCGCAGTTCGAAATGCCAGGAGCTGGAAAAGATTCAAGAGCACACCCACAGGCTGGAGACGTAGAGTCGCAAAGACTGCGAGTCGTTTGAACATTCAAAGGCATCGAAGAGATCGACGTGTGGGAGGGAAAGAGGCCATGGTCATGTTGCGAAGCTTTCTACCCATGTGGGGTTGACTGTTTTTTCCCGTAAACGTGTCCAGTTTACGTTTGGGGCTGGGATGTTCGACTTAGGCGAAGAATAGCCCGAAGCATGCCCTCGGAATATATATGCAACATAACATACATGTATGTTAGTCACTGTTAGTCTTCACACTGCGCTTGGCGCATACCCCGAAGCATACCCTGCGAAGCATGCATACCCCATAGTCAAACATGCCCGGGAAGGTCAAAAACACAGACCGAGTGTTGTTTTCATTGCATTTAGGAGTCGTTTCATCGCATTCAGGTCTAGGTAATGCCCAATTCCCCCTAAGCCATATCAACGTGGCAGAAGATTTGAAGGATTTGGGACCCAATATCAACAACGGTGGCCCCCATGAGAGAGGCGCATCGAGGATGAATCAGGTACTATTTAATTCAAATTATTTCAAGATATTCAAGTAAAATAACGAGTTTTTGTTGGCTTCCTTGGGCCCAGAAAAGCGGTTTCACGCAAACCTCACGGTTTGCAGAGGTCTTCAGGTGACATGTTTCCTCAGGCTCAGCCAGGAAAAGCAGAAGGTCTTGACGGATTCGGCCCAGGACAAGCCGTTTCAGGGAGTTTTCAGGGGGGGGAGGCCCAGGACGCAGAGCTCGCTGCGAGCTGCGGAATCGGGGCGGCGAGTGGACGAAAGCACGCTCGTGAGAGAGGGGAGCTGGAACTTGGAGAGAGTGGAACTGGAGGTTCCGAGTTCTGCTACTTGACTCTTGGGGGTGGCATGTTCTTCAACTGAAAGAAGTCAACATGACGATCAGAATGGACACGAAGTTGGACACGAGTCAGTGTGAGAGAGTAGCAGTAGACGGCCCCCATAGAGTTCCATGCATTGATTTAGAGTCGGGCACTCGGTAGACACCTAAACCCCCTGGAACCAGATGAAAGGGCCGTAGGGCGTGACAAACAGTCCGCAAGTTATATATTTTTGGTAATTAGATGTATCTGGTACGAACTGTGAGGCAAAGAGAATCGAAGGTCACCAGCTGTTAAAAGATATATTTAAGCACTATTTCGAAGGGCATGCGTGCAGCGTGCATGAATCCGAACAAACTCTGACTACACCCCAGCAGTCACAAAGGGCTGCCGAACTTGGAGGAAGTCGGGGTGCCCCCACTCACCTCCACTCACTGGATAGGGCTCAAAACCGCTCAACTCCATGTGACTGGTCCAAAACAACGATCTTTTAAACCCCTTTTCGAACGGTCTCCCTGGCCACTCCCGCCGATCCTGGCCACGTCCCTTTCGGACCGATCGCCTTTCTCGCCTTTCTCGTCTCGGTGAGGCTCAGAGCAACGCCGAGCAGATGCTCGCCGAAACGCGGGCCACGCGGAGTCCGTGGGGGTGGAGACGGGCCACGAGCCGCGCGGCTCGGTGTGGCGAGCTGTGGGCTCTGAAGCTGGGGCCCTGTGAGGTGGCCGGCCAGTTCCACAAAGAAGGTGTCTGTAAACGAACCAGACTCAGGCCACAAGAAATGAGCAGCCGTTTATCAATAGACGGGGGGTGAGAGGGGCGATGGTAGATTAAACTCCATCACTTCCTCTCTAGTCTGACTGGTGCTTGGTAGGGAATGCGGAAATGCATTTCAAAGAAGGGCCCACTGAAAGCCACATGAGGCTGATGATATGTCAAGCGTGTTGTTGCACCAGTGGGGAGACCAAAGGAACAGACAGCATCCCAACACCTACCCCCAAGCGACCAGGGAAGAGAGATGGTCGAGTACTGAGATTGTATCCCACCACTACCCCCAGCTTTGCTTAAGGTGATGTGTTGATTTTTCCTATGGCTAAACCACTATATAGGAGTATTTACTTTTTATAAGTATATTTTTCCAGGTTCGACCGCACATTCCAAGCTACCTTGGACCATGTTGGACCCTTCCCACCCGACCCTGACCGTGGCCAGCAAAAATGCGGCGCACCGGGCCCGCGCCATTTGCGCCGAAGCCGCGCGTGCGCGCCAGGCCAGTTACGAGACTCGTCTTTTGGAGAAGAGTCAAGCTTTAGCTCCTTGGACTCCTTGGTCGATCCGCAGTTTCAGCGTGCATGGACACCAAGGTGTGACTCGTTGCAGGTGTTTTGCAGGAGTGACCTACAAGGTACACTCTTGGTCAAAGGTTCGAGTTCTAGAATTAGAATGTTCTAGAATCTAGGTTCACGGTTTTTGTTGAGCTGTTGGGCTTCGAGCATGCTGTTCGGAGGAACCTTTGTCTTCACCTAAGAGCACGGCGGAGGGACAAAACATGACGCGCGAACATATTAAACATGAACACCTCCGATTCACCAAGAATCTCCTCACCATCCGAACACCCCGAACCGATTCATGAGCTCCACTGCTCCCAGCGCCTCCCCACCCCCGCCACATGAGAGTCCATGTCGCCAACCACCCGCTTCAGAGCTTCTGAAAGCGCCCCCCCTTTGGGGGCAGAACTGCGAGATGGACCACTACGAAACGAGTGCCAGCGCAGCAGTGGGACGGTCTCCAGGCTTGGAGGACCGGTCATGGGACTGGTCCCGTGCGGGGACTCCCCGGTCGCGCTGAGGCTGAGATGGAGGAAGCCTATCGAAAGGTTCCACCCGCCACAGGGGCACCTGGGACCGCGGCAGGAATCAATGGCAGGCAGGCATAAGGAAGGCGGGACATTTCATCCTCGAATCCGGGCCCCAAGATGCAATCAGACCCAGGTGAGGGTGGGGATTCCTGAACAGATTGAGTGAGACGAAGTGAATCTTCGCATGTTCGTGCAGCAAGCAAGACATAACAAACTCTAACAGTCGAATATTTCATGAAATTTTAAGGATGTTTCGTCATGTTTCTTCCCAATCAACCCGGTAATGGAAACTGGGTCGCACGACCCACCTCCTTAAATCAGGGTATTCTCTGAATCCAAATAATCCGATTGCGGCAAGACCTGACGACGGGACATCAAGTCGGATATGGAGTGAATTCTCATGACACTGAAAGCACTCCCGTCCCACATACAGAGCTGTATCCTTCCCCCGCTTCACGCAAGCACGCGACGCCATGAAGACTTGGTACGTAGCTGAAGCGAGCCAGGGTCGGAGGTATCCAGCGCTTCCCCATGAAGACGGGGGGGCTATTTCACTAAGGGAGTTCCCTGACTCCGACAGCTTTAGGTATAGAGATGTATAGAGGTCGTCCCTGATCCAGTTTCCTCATGTTTCCTCCAGAAGATTTCAAGATTTTCTGCATATGGGACGTGGCCAACAACTCATGACCGCTGTTGCTTCTTGAAATGTTTGGCTTCTTATGTCACCATGATGTGCTTTCTACACTCTGACTCACATTCCATGGA